GGGGTGTGAGAAGTCGTTCGCAACAGAAACAGGTTTGGGAACCAGAACCATAACAACACAAACTAAACTCCACGTCGACTCAGGAGCGATTCAAGACCCAAGAAGAAGTTTGGAGTCGCTGACTCAAAGGAAATGAGAAAAATTAAGTATATTTCGCTTATTTTTGCCATAGCTTGCCGCAATTTGAAAGATCGACTCTCTCCAACGAGTGTACTTCCCAAATCACGGAAAAGAGGATAAATAAAATCGAACTGCATTATCCTTTTCCTACGAATCTAATGAATGGAATCGCCACGACGTGGTCTCTTTTATTATGGTCTCTTTTATTGTGGTCACTTTTATTGTGGTCACTTTTATTGTGGTCACTTTTATTGTGGTCACTTTTATTGTGGTCACTTTTATTGTGGTCACTTTTATTGTGGTCACTTTTATTGTGGTCCTCTTGAGCAGTCACACCCTTTTCCAGCAGTTCTACCACTGCATGAAACAAAGTTGTGTGCTAATTTTTTTCGCAACCACCTTCTGCCGTTTAAGGTACGACCTCATTTTACTTCCGAGCGTGAGGAGTCGCAGTTTTCGTCACGTGGAGAAGTTGCGAGCAACCACAGCGGCAACACTAATAGTTGCGCAATATGACCCGCTGCCTTCTTTCGCGCAGGTGCAAGAACGCTTTGGGGAAAAAAAGTGCAATGCGATTTCCCTCAATTGACCAGCGGGAAAAAATGAATATTCAGGAGTTGAATATAATTCTGGGGAGGCGAAGTTCAATACCGCAACTGGAGGGATAGAACTGTTCATTGGTTAGGCCGAAATCATCAATGATGTCGGTTGTTTTCTGTGTCGGCTGCTCCGAAAATGTTCAAAATTACTCGGAAATCCCTATGCGATATTTGACAAGCGTATCGTCGGGACTTAATTTAGGAAAATGTGAGTTAAACACAGTTCAATTACGAAACTACATTGAATTAAAAATGTATAATGGAATCTTGCGAATGAAGAGATGGCAATCTGTCACTTCGATTGACTCCGCGAAGATCGGATTTCAGCCGATTTGTTCTTATCGCTGATACACCCTTCAGGGAAGGACATAAAAAGGGCAAAATCGGAGCTGGAAGAAGTCCTCGGCATGGATTTGAAGGCAGAAGTGGAAACAATGGCCAGTTCTGATCCTGATCTCAAGATCATCTCAGACAGCCTCGGCAAAATCCCGGTTCGTCCCAAGAGAAAAAGTTTTTCATTTAGGAAGGGGAACGTAACCAGGAAAATCGATCCATTCTCATCTTTCTCTAAAGAACCTGACAGCGGCTACGACGCATTTGATGGAGACAGCATTGCCGTCGTGGCGAGTGGCAATGGGAAAGGATCCGTCAATTGAAGACTCGGTCGTGGACACGGCGAGTCTCATCGCGTCCGTGCAGAACTCCCTCCCAGCCACGGAAGACAAGGACCAAGTCGGGACTTTGCTCTCCGCCCTCTCTGCCCTCTTCCAAGACGAGACCTTGACCTTCTCGGGTTTCTTTTAAAATCCCTCTTCTAATACTTTCATCTTCAATCTGAGGGTGTTTCTCCTCTAACTATGGCTTTATCCTCTGTCAGAGGTAATGCTGTCCATCAGTCCCCCGCTCTACACGAAGACGATAGCGGTGGTGCTGAACGATACCTTCAAGCCCGGAGTCCACGACACGACCACCCACCGAGACGCCATCGCCCTCGCCAACAAGATCCGCGACGCGGTTCGACCTCCAACGTCTCGTACGGAATGGCTCTGGAATACGTAGTGAATACCTGCCCTCTTCTTACAGCTGAGCAACAACTACAAGCTGGCTGCAGGGCTGGAGGTGGTCGTGAATGTCTCCCTTCCCTTCACACCCGGAAGCATCGTTGCGAATGCCAACGTCACCTTCATCACGGACACTACGGAGGCGGCACGGGTCTGGGAAGATGCTGCTCTCATCACCGAAGCCACTAGAATTAACGGGACTTCCGTTACTATCATGAGTAAGTCGTCAATGAATCCATCAGCCTCATCTCAATAGCAGTTCATAGCCAATTGCACCACCTTGCAGTGGAAGGTGCGGGTGCTCTAACAAAAAGAAATACTGCGAACTTTTCGACAGGTCCTCACGACTGCAAGCACTGATCTCTAGTCTTCAGCAATTCCTTCATTTTCACCTACTGCTCATTATCCAGACGATTCTTATACCTTAGTGTCGACTGCCTGCATTTGAGAGACAAATCAAAACGATTCTCACTGTTTTCTACCGAAGAGTTATTGCTCTCTAGTCGTTAGCCCATCAGGACAGCAGGAAAAAGCAAGTTGGAAAAAAAATTGTAGGGAAGAGCATGAACCGCTCCTGAAATTAACCATATTCCTACACAAAGTGACATTGGAAGAACCGTAGGGAGAGGAAGCGGTGTGGAATGGAAAAAGTTCATTGAATCCATGGAGGACTGGAATGTTAACCGAACGAATGTTGTTTCCCTCCTCAAATCCATTCCCAGACTTAAGATTTCTTTAACCTGATCGTAACGAAATTATGACGTCATTATACGACTCAAAAG